CCTGAGGGACTTCGGTTGCCCGCACCAGGGCTGCAAACGTGGTCGATTTTACATTGTCTTTAATGGGGCTTCAATTAGTTCAGTGCACCCTCTATGGTGGCGTATTTGGTTTAGTGTGACCTGTAGTGCTGTAACGAAACATTGGCTTAGTGCCAGTCTAGGGCTGGTACCCGGCGAGGTGGCTCCGCGCCGCTGCAGCCAGTGCGTGTGTTGCTATCGGTATATACAGCAGCGCGCTCGCCATCTCGTTTTTTCTGGTCATCGCGTTTTTCTCTGCACGTGGCGCTCTGCATGTTGCACGTTAGCTCTCGCAAGTCTTGGTACACACTCAAGCTGGCTCTCACAAACTGGCTCTCCTGCACGACGGGCGACGCACGACGGCAGATATGGAATTCCATAGTACGAAGGTATGTAAGCTAGATCAGGTTGCCTTCAATTCTTCATTTCATTAGGTACATGAAGTACTGTCAGGGAGTCCATCTGCCATCTGGGCTAGTGTGTAAGCTATTTTATATAGTCTATAGAGCTCTTTGGGGAAATGGAGCACTATTGATAATGGAGCATTATTGATATTATAAGGGAAAAAATTCAACTTTTTGATGTCCTCTTTCATATTAGAGAGAAAAGAGAACAGTGCTTTTGCTTACTTTTTGGTTTTTGAGGGAAATTTTTGGGTATAACGGCAGCGTATATGACCTCCCCAAACATGCCAAAGAGAGCTGTGATTGACAAAAATTAACGAATGTAGTCTGGTTCCTTGGTTAGGATGGAGATTTGTTTTGATGAATCCCAAATGCCTGAGTCAGGTAACCAGACAAAAAACAAAATGGCGTGATTCGGCTGAATGTTTGCCATTTACCTAACCCCACCAGTGTGGCACGGACTCTCACTCCCGATCCATCCTTAGCCACACATCCGTTTGCGCAATTTCGTGTCGGTGTATTGAACATTTCGGCGCATGATTCTTGACCTTTTCACTTTCTAAAAACCATTTATTGAATGATTTCACTCACGTTATTGAGGTATTTTCCAGTCTTTTTGATTTTATTGTAATTGCTGGGCACCTCTGGAAATCAGTGTTTCACTGAGAGGTTTCCCCAGGATAAATAATAAAGATTATTATTATTATTATTTATCCGTTCAATCTAATGGACTCGCTCTCTCAGTCGCCATCTTTAAAATAAGATCGTTGAACAATACGTCACTTGACCCCTCATCGTCTTGACGGCTGTTCCATGTCAAGACATGTAATAAACGGACTGAGGGATAAGATACTACATGTACCAATGGGCTCTTCCAAAACTTTGGCAGCAGTTTAGATATCTTGACGTTGAACAGCCGTCGAGATGACTGTGAGAGTGAGCCCATTAGATTGAATGCATAAAGGCAAAAAGACTGAAAAATACCCGAATAACGTGAGTGAAAACCATTCAATAAATGGTTTTTAGAAAGTGGAAAGGTCAAGAATCATGTTCGTGTGCAAAAGAAATTGCGCCCACGATGATAAGTGGGTGCGCCGAAAATGTTCAGTATGCCAACACGAAATTGCACATACGGATGTGTGGCTAAGGATGGATGGGGAGTGAGAATCCGTGCCACACTAGTGGGGCTACCATTTACCCAACTCGGGTTAGAAATTTGAAGTTTTCTTGCCTGAATATTGTAAATACTAACCTAAACTGGGCCTCTCAGGATTGAATAATGGTTCCTTGAGGTCAAAATGTTAGTTTGAGAAAGAGGACTCTGTTTCCTTATGATAGGAACCGGGTGCTAATGGTAATAAACGCCATGCAAAGCTTACAGTGCATGGCGAAAAAGGCTAATTTTCTGTGGGGTTCATGAGAGTGGGTCCTACCAATAATCTTTGTATCAGGACTCTTTTCCAATTTTTTACATAGGTAAAGCCTTTCTAACATGCACATACAGCATCACTATTAATATAAAATATGTACATTAATATAAAAGGTACAATACATGTATATAGACGCTAAGTCATTTGACCTAATGTACATATACATGTGTAGTGGGTATCACTCCCGAAGGAAAGTGTGTTTAATACACCGTAAGTGTGCTAAAATCAAAGCCATTTTGGTATATGTATATGTAATAGGCACATGCAATAAGCACATCAATAGTCAGTAATGTCAGTAGACATGGCATGTACCTTTTGGTATGGGGGATGTCATGTTTGTTGATCTTTAATTCCCACTGTGGGTCATGTGACTTGGCGGTTGCAATCAGTCTGTTATGGTTAAAGGACCCAGAAAATGTATTTTTCTTAGAATCACTTGTGTATCTCCGTATTCTTCTTCCATGTATGAAGACTGTTTGACATCTTTGAGTTACGTGAACTGAACGGTGCACTTTTTTAAACGTTAAAAATTGACCAAGCATTTCTGGACTAGTGAGGGCGCTTTTGCTTTGATGTATATCCAGGAAGCCATGGTTCAGGTTGCATATTTTCATGTTCAAATAGTGAACTGCAAATTTGGTATCTGGGAACATTTCTGTGAAAAGAATTTTTGCTGGATTATTGCCATATACTTACACAGCAATAAATTGCCAAAGAAATAAAATCTGCCATAGCAGTGGTTAAAACAAGCTAGAAATTTTCTGTGCACAAATCAGTACAACATTGAGATTCAGTGCCTTGGATGACATCATAGTTCTGCTCATGAATATGCAACTACGTGTATGCATTAGCATAGCAAAATATGGGTTAAAATTGCAAAACAAGTAAGGTTAATTGAAACATTTTGATGCAATTTCAAGGGTTTTTAGTCAAACTTATAAAATGTTTTCTATCTGCGGGCTCCTTTAAGTCTGTATGTCTATACTGTATATATACATGTATGTGTACCTGTTTAATCCCCAACCAATAATTTCACTAGTTTTTATGGATTGGTGTGCATGTTCTTATTTTAACAGCATGGTCCAGGAACAAGGAAATTAGTGCATGCAGTCATCATTGTGACAGGAATACTAACACTTGTATGCAGCGCTCTGTCTGGATGCAGCCTACATCATGTACATGTATGTCGGTCAGCCTCTGGTAAGAATACATGTAGGTTG